CAAACAAGTAGACATACACACAAATCACACATACACATTCATCATCTTAATATTTTTTTCCATCATGTTTTACACACTCCTAACACACACACACACATCTACATGCACACACACGAACACGTAGACATACACACAAATCACACATACACACATACACATAATTTTTTTCATCATATTAATATTTTTTATCATTTTTTACACACACCTAACACACACACACTTCTGCACGCACACACACGCACACACACGCACACACAGAGAAGGATTCCCACTGCACTCAGGCCAAGTGGGATTCTGCAGGACCTACCACATCATTCCCACTCTCAACAGGAGCCGGGATAAGATCGGATTGGCGTTGGACGGGAAGTTGAAATACGAAGATACCGGACTGGCTTCCTCAACCATGTTTGTTGGGTTTTTTGGAATTTTTAGTGGGGGTTTTGGAACTTTTATGGGATTTTTATGGGGTATTTTGGCATTTCTATCAAGTTATTATGGAATTTTATGGAATTTTTTTGGAATTTTACGGGATTTTTCGGAATTTTTATGGGATTTTATGGTATCTTTATGGTATTTTTATGTATTAATTCATCCATTCATCCATCTATCCATCCATCCATCCATTCATTCATCCATTCATCCATCCATTCATCCATCCATCCATCCATCCATCGAAGAGTCCACAGTGAAAACGACCGAGACAGTCTTGGGATCATCATAGCTTATTTCGTCAGGGCGAAATTGACCTTTGGCATCGGGACAAGGTTACGCATGGCGTCATCGATGACGTCATCATCATTATTATTATTATTATTATTATTATTATTATTATTATTATTATTTGTATTATTAAACATTTAAAAAAATTTTTAAAGATAACTTAACGAAGTGTTTAATTAATTCAGATATACTAATTATGATAATTGATTTCATATTTTGAGGTTTGATGGTGGTAATAAAAATGGGTGGGTTGTCATTATTTCATTATAGTAATGCTTGTTGTTGTTGTGGTTGTAATTGGTGTAGCTGTTATCGTGATTATCATTAATGTTACCATCATCATCATCATCATCACCACCACCATCATCATCATCATCATCATCATCTTCTTCTTTATTGCTGTATTGACAATAGAAAAAGTATCATTAACATCATCATCATTATTTTCATCACCATCATCACCATCCCCATCATCATCATCATCATCACCATCACCATCACCATCACCATCATCATCATCATCATCATCATCATGACCTGCAATTAGTGACGTAGTGCTGGAAGTGCCATTCACCTTGAGCCATCCGTCAAAATATCCAACCAATGAGATGACGGTGATGAAATCACGTGACCAAAGTAATGATGATCGTCGTGATAGGTGAGTGAGTGAATAAATGAATGAATGAATAAATGAATGAATGAATGAACAAACAAACGAAAGAACGAAAGAGCGAACGAACAAACGAATGAATGAACGAGTGAGTGAATGTGCAACTAATGATTGAGAGATTAACTTGCATAATAATCGAAGTAACCATTGTCATCATCATCATCATCACCGCAATCGTCATCATCGTCGCGGTCGTCATCATCACACCCACCACCACAACCACCATCCAGTGACGCCACGAATCGCGAGGACGTTAGACTCTTCGACGAATTCGCCAGGACGTGCCGCACCACCCAAGAAGGAAAATTTTAATTCCCAGACCAAAATAATTTCGAAACGAGACTAACCTAATTTCGTAACGAGACTAACCTAATTTCGAAACGAGACTAACCTAATTTCAAGACGAATGTTCAATCTTAATTAAATATTATCGATTAATTAATTAATTAGTTAATTAAACTGATCTACTTATAGATAATCCCATTTTCAACAATCACTCAATTGAGTCTGATCACATTTCTTACTTTCATATTATTCTAGCTGTGAAACACACACATACACACACACATACATGCACAATGCACACACATACATACACACTTTCACACACACATACACACTCTCACACACACCACACACACATATACACACATGCACACACGCGCATAAACACACATACACAGACACACACATATTAGTATTTGATTAATCGCTTGATCCAATAATCATTAGCCAGTAAAAGTTCTATCGTGTAAATATTAATATTATTAGTAAATGCACACACAAACACACATACACGCACACACGCACGCACGCACACACACGCACACACACAAGATGATAATGATAATGATGACTATGGAGATGGTGAGGAGGACGATGATGATGATTTGCTTTTTTACCGATTTGTCGAGAGAGAGAGAGAGAGAAACTAAAAAGATTAGTAATATTTTTGAAAAAAGCAAAGAAACGAAAAAAATAATTATAATAAATCAATCAATCAATCCGATCGATCGATCGATCGAACGAACGAACGGACGAACACATAATTTTAGTCAGATGTACACACAATCAAAAACACACGCACACAAGTACACACACACACATACA